CTAAGCAGGATTCAATTTGGCCACTGCCCACGATTCCACCTTCAAAGAGGAATCACCATCGTATATAGCCCCAGCGGCCCTCGTCGACGTGTACAGGCCCGGTCAGCGGCCTCCACTATTAATCTTATATCGAACGCTTTATCCGCGTCCGCTTCCTTCCTCCTTCGAGTTTTCTTCGTCCACCCACGGCCCTCCCCCGCGCCACCCCTCGTCGACCTCTTCAACCCTTGGACGAGCAGGAATTTTCAATTCTTTCGAGTACCGCGGGAAAGCAGATTGCTCGGGGCTGTCGCCGTGCGCGACGTCGAATCCGACGCCGTCGAACGAAATTTCAGGTCCAACGAACGCCTCCAACCTGGCCCAAAACACGATTAGCCAGGAATTTCGAACGAAACGTAAAACTCGAATCCGTTGGAAAATTGTTGGAGAAATCTTCCGGAATTTTATTGTTTGTTCCAAGTCGATCTTAATTCTGTTATCAAAATTAGAAATATAGAAGTAAAGATGTACTTCAACGAAGTGTTTTCCAACCTGTGTCGTGAATGTAATTGTATAAATCGGAAGAACGTTGATAATTTCGTCTTACGAAGCCGCGGGTGAAACGTTGAAAAATCGCTCTGTTCCGAGTTAGTCGTGGTCTTACGAAGAATGGCGGACGGGGAGCCTTCTATTCCTGCAGGTTCATGCGTCCATGCGATTAATCGCGCACGGAAATGGAAGGACGTGGAAACGAGCGTCGTCGTCGGACGCTTCTGGCAGGACATTGGCCAGGACGAATAAGTAATGTAGAGGTCCATTATGCTGAAACGGTGAAGGGTCTCTGCGACCAGGGTCAGCCAATCCCCCAGAGGGCCGTTAAAGTGAAATACTTCTGAATGCAAGGTGGCTTGGACGCCTCCCGCACCCCTCGCAACCGCCCTTTCGCTCTCCTTTCTTCCCTCTCCTTTTTCACTGTCCCGGTTAGACCCTCGACAGCGCCGGACCTAGGCGTCCATAGGTAAATCGTTGTTATCTGGACAGTGATAAACCCGTGAATGGAGTTCGCGCCTGCCCGGACGAATGAGCGAGGGGAACACGAAGGGTGCAAACCACCCTCGACGCTCTGCGACTTCGGGGAGGGGGCGCGGAACCGATCACCAAATGGATGGCTCTGTTTATGCGAACCGGTCTTGATCTCTCAGGATCTTGAGAGTCCGTTTCAGGGACTTTTTACGTAATAGAAACGGGGGTATTTTTACTACATTATAACCGGTGCACATTTGCACCCTCGCAAACTGTGGTTCGATTTTATATACCGTGAGGAATAGAAGATTCAGAGTGTTTTCTTTAAAAGGCTTTTGGTTTAGAATCACGACAAGACTCGATAATCGTTTAGTTTCTCGGTGGTCCCGATAATTTAATTTCCAACGTAACAGCGCGTTATAGAACGCGATATTACGAGGTTCGTGAGATCCGACGTTGTAGGAGTCAGACCGCGGCCAGCTCGCGCGAGTAAAATCCACGAGACCGGAAACGCTTTCACTCTCGCGAGCGGGTAATGGCTCGCGTTTGATCTCCGACACGGCAGCCTGTTTACGCATCGGCTTTCCACGCCAAAAATGCTAATTTAATAACGACCGCTCGGATTTTCTTGATCGTTCCTCGCGTCTAACAGCGAGCAACACTCCCAAACAAGGTTAAGCAAATTTTATTCGCGAACTTTAACATTTGTGGAGCCTCCACCGTATGTAAATGAGGAGGGGGGGCGGAGCTTAGAAATTTCTATAAATCGGAAAGTTGCTATATCGATGTGCGATCGATCAAGCGCGTGACGCGATTCTCGCGAGGAAAAAGGTAATTGAATTTTCCGGGATGTGCACGCGAAGGCACGTCGATTCCGTCGCCCCTCGAGGGGTGGTTCCGTTTGTCTCCCTGTGGGTAGAAAGGAACCGAGGGAGCATGCAAACACCGCGAGATTAAAGGAACCGTCGTTCCATGCCGTGGATCTGAAATCGTGGCCCGAAGACACGGCCATTGACCGACGGACCCTCGTCGAAACGCAATCCAGACCAGCTTTAATATCCGAGAGTTCCACGCGAGTAAAACGATAACGATTTCGCGTGTAATCGATGACCGATTCGACCGGTCGATTCCACTCGACGATAAATAATTGCCAAAGATGACCAGTTCATTGCGCAACCGTGTATTAATTAATATTCAAAGATGCCGGGGGGGATCGTTACTCTCGTTCGTTCGCCAGAAGACCACAGTAGGAGGAAAATGAGCGTCCAATTACCAGCATTATGGCGGTTACTATTAATTAAAGAGGAATTAAAGATACCGCGGGTGCGCAAGAATTCCAACTAATTCTGAATAATTATCGTTGCATTGAGATTCGTTCGTCGGTTGCTTGCCGAGCGCGCACGCGTGACGGCATTGTGATTAATTTTAAGATGGAGTCGAAACACCGCGGTCGAAGAATAGAAAGCTACCGGGGTAGCGGTAAGGTTCGAACAGGAAATTAAAATGGTGGCGTAAGTCTAGCAGCTGGTAATGAGGATAACCTACTGGCGTCTGCTGTTCGAATTAAATGCGACTGCGAAACGATGAAAATCTTTGTTCGGTTGACGGGATTCATCAGTCAGTCCCGCGAATTGGCAGGTACGAGTCCACTCGGTGTAAACGCGATGGTACACGAGTTACGCGAATATCGTGGAAAGTTGAAACGCATAAATTATGAACCGTTTCGGAACTGACGGTAACATATGCGCGCATTGTATTTTACAATCGATAATTTTCTGACGTATAATATATTTGTAACCGCGTGTCGTGTGTGCGTGGATATTCGTGGAACTATGCAATTATCTTTCGTAACGCGCGTTGTACCGTGCGCGTACAATTTATCAAAACTTGTTTCAATGAAAGCGGCCAGTTAGCAAATTTCGACGAAGAAACGTATCAATAATCCCGGGATAGAAAGGTTAAATTTATTTTTACATTATCCGTGAGATATGACGAGGTATATAAATCTTCCAGGAAATATCAGTGGAACAAGCGTTTCTACTTGTACGAATCAATTGCTGTACCTACTTCTGCATCTATTCGTAGAAATCAGTTACAGTGCCTGAGTATTTGTAACTCGTATTGAAACGGTGTTGTTACAAAAATATAACCGGGTAGAATTTGGCTAATAGAGAGATCCGATCGTTTCTCGAAATAAGATTAATTAACCCGGTGTAGAAAAGAAGATGGAAACGACAGGATTGCAGGCTCGATTTATTAGGAACGATACTCGGAGAAAAGATCGAGGCAAGAAATCGACATAAATCATCCGTAGGTTATGCCTCGTAAAATATACGAACGTCTGATCGTGGACGTTTCGAGTTAGGAATAATCAGCACGCAATGGGAATGAAAGCGAGAAGATGGACGCGGAAGGAGGAAGAAACTAGTGCCACGCGCTTAAACTAAGATGGAGTCGTTTCTTTTGCTACGGGAAAGCCCGGTCGAAGTTGGCATACGGAACAATGGAGGGTCCACCGGTCGGTCGGAGGAGGTCAGCGGCCATTCTCTGATGATATTGATTAGCCGACGCCCTTAGTTAGCGCCAGCTACACTTTCTTCGGCCCCGCTGCTTTTCCTCCAGCTCTCGCTCCTCTCTGTAAACGTTTCCTCTCGCTCCCTCAGCCACCCGCCGCGAAACTCTTCGGTATCCACCCTCTCTTTGTTTCCCTTCGCTTTGCTCTCCGAACTTCCTCTCTCGTTCCTCCATCTCCATCAGGATCGCTTCTTCCTCGCCCTCGTTAGCGAAGGAAACAGAAAATGGGGTGAGAGATATCGGTTGGAGCGGGACGCGGGCCGAGCCTGCGCTAAGTCTCTGCGACTAAATCATTCATCAAGCAAATAATACCGTGGCTGAGTCACGTCTCACGCACGCGGGGGTGATACGATATTCGCGTGCTTCCGTCGCCGGGATGCGTCACGCACGAGGTGTCGTGAAAATGGGGATTTTTCCGCTGAGATTCCGAGATATTATAATGTCGACTGGTGGTGAAAACCAGAATCGAGCAAAGTCTATTCAAGACTAAGTAAAAGATGGTAGATTTGTTTGATTTCTTTTCCATCGCAGATCGCTGTTCTTTTTCTAAAGTACTGAGTGAAAGGTTTTGCAGTACGAAGGGGTAGGAACGTTCTTCGTTAGTGACAGACGCGTCTCAAATTCGAAAGAATTCGATACACCCCGCACAGAGGGCTGACGGTTTCGGAAACGTCCAGTGCCCCGGTGTAATTAGACACTGCAGCGTGGAACAACATCCAGAGGCAGGCATTGTTCCCAGAAATTAAGGGAAACGAGGGAAAGCCCGGAAAACAGACAGAAATAGGGGATTCGGAGGGTTGCTAATTACGCGAGCTCGTGAAGGGGGAGAAGCTATTTTCTGCGCAGACACAAAGACCCCAGCGCGCGTTATATTAATACAGGAAAGGGACAGGGAATTTGTTTCGGGAACTTCTTTTGCAATTTGATCCAGCCTCGATAACGCCGCGTAGAAATAATTTCTCGTCGAATATTTTCATTCCTGATTGTGCGTGAGCGTGGACTGCGTACTTTCTCTTCGTCGGGAAATTTCTTTTCCCAGCTAATATCTTACAAAAAGTCGAAGAAACATTTATAAAATACAGTAATTTGCAGACCATTCGAAACATGAAATTTAATGCAAAGAAATATTGGGATATCTATAAAGTTGTAAACTTGGGATCGTAAATAAGTAACAGAATCGTTTTGGTATTTTCTCTTATTTATTATATATTATATTACAGTTTTTTTATATTAAAAAATGCTTGTACAGATCGTACGTTTTATACTGTGTACATTTTCAAGTCAAGATCTCGGATTTCTTTAGTGTTCGCTGACTTTTGTGTCGTAACTTCTCGTTTAAGTTTCTCTTGTTTAAGGAACCGTGACTAATTCGAGTGCGCAGGTATGCGAGCAGATTAATAACCATGTTCGTTTTCATTCCGCAGGTAAAGTTTGGATAGGCGATAACGAGGTCGCGTGGCGGACCGAATCTTTCAAGAGGACTTCACCCCTAAATCCCTGCGCCACCACGACTACCACGACGACGACAGGTGGCGGAACACCGGCACACCCCCACCTGTCACCACCCACGGCCGCCCCCGTGACCAGTCCCGATCATAGAAGCCCCAGTAGCCTCCACGTGAAACTTGGAATATCACCCGGTGAGTGAAACTAAAAAAATTATCGTAGAAATTGCAGCACCATGTTATCGTAACGATTCCAGCCCCTAGTGCAGTGGTTCTTACACTTTCTAAGCTAACTTGGGGTTTTTAATTAAACTCTGTCGTCTGAAAACAGAGTAGTATAAAATTTTATACTCAGCATCTTCGATCAATGAGATTTATTTACGTTTCTGGAAATTTATGGTAAAAATCGACCACGATGGCCACGGAGATTGCAAGTTTGACAGAAGTTCCTCGACGCGAGAAGCAGTACAAACACTGTGAAAAACCGAGGGTCGGCGGCTTAAAACGGCCTTAAGGCGAGGCCTCTTTAAATAATGCAATAAGCTTGATGTCATTTACCGGACAATGAGGGGAATTCCTTTTACGGGAAGGTCCGATGAAATTGCCCCTCGCAGGTGCGTGTTTCCGACCCTCGACAAAACGTGACTCCACCAATCACGATTCTCTGATTCGCAATGCTCGTTCCGTTTTACTCTTAAACTGGTAATGGTGACCAATAATAATTAGCGTTTTTGCGTGTAACTGTCGCACTTCGAAAGACGATCATAAAGCGTCCGTATCTCGTACACGTTGTACATGATTTTTTCTTGATATAGACGAAGTTACCAAAAATCTAGTGTGCTCTATGATAAGCTCAAGGTTTGAGAACCACTGATATACAAAATAAACAACGCTGCGAAAATAATAATTCGGTGCTCGATTGGTCGACAAATCCATAATTTGAATCGTAAATCAATGATCCATAAAAAAGCTGTCAAGATGCTCGTAGAGATAACCGTGCTTCGAAATCTCAGTTTTTATCGTACATTGATTTCGATTCCAAAGTCGGCTAAATTTCTCGATAAACGTTCGATAATGTTTCTAAAAATACACATCGGGCTGCTATCAGGACCCCGTTGATTTGTCGAGCGATTCGACGAGCAGGTAATTAACACATCGATAACTGGGCATGCTTTCTAAAGTACAAAAGTTTCGTTGAATAGAAGAGTAGGATCAAACTTTTCCTTGCACAGTTTTTTTCGATCTCCTTACGTAATTCTGTGCAATGCGTAAATAGACGTACAACGGATAGCAAGTTGATACGTCAGCATTAAACAATGAGTCGAAAGTCGTCGATCAGGAAGAAGCATGGAAACGTGGCTCGAGGCGTCGCGGCGCGAGGAACGCGATTCGGAATCGACTATCGATCCGAGACGGAAGCTGAAACGTCCGAGAAGGTGGTTTCGGTCCGTGGAGCTCCCTTCGTTTGCTTAAATAAACATTGCTCGAACAATAGAGCAGGGAGGGAGGGGGGCCCGATCGGGCCTCTTTCGTCGGCAATACGGTCGTCGAAGGGGCGGAGGTTGGAGTTCTCTTGCTCCTTTCCGTGGAAAAGACAGGAAGCACTCCGCGCGGCATGTTTAATGCATCGTTCGGGCATTTCCATGTCAAACATCGCTTTGACTCGCGGAATTTAAAACCGTCTGGACCAAGCTCGCACAAACGCACCGTCCGTGGACGGGGTTGCGTGTGTGAGCACGCTGATGGGAAAACTACCCATCTTTATTTACCGTCCAGCCACCGACTGGACAAGGTGAGCTAACGCTCTATCGATCGATAAGGGTCGAAAGTTGAAACGAGAGCGAAATAACAGCTTCGTTCAGTCAAATGCAACTGTTTCTCATCGGTGATCCTCGCGATACTAGAAAAAAACACGAATATTTTTTAATCGATGCTCGGGAAAGGGCGATAGATCGCGCGAGAAAGGAGTCTAGATCGTCGTTTCCACTTTAAGAAAGAATACACATCGTGCAGCGCGGTCTTTCCCAGTCTATTTGCCTCGCAAAGCTATCCCGCCTAGCTGCCAAGTGTGTTTATTCGGTATATCAATAAGGACGAAGTGGACGAGAGCGAGCACGAAGTCCCCCAAGGATTTCGTCCTTGTCGGGCGACGAACTCTCCTCTCTGGACAGCTTGATAACATTATGTTTCTTGCGCCGACATATGCACTGGCCGGTTTTTGAAGAATGAGAAGGGACAACACCCTAAAATGTAACGGACCCACGGGCTCCCGCGGACATGTGTCGATGCGATGATCCTTTCGGCTTCGAAGGCTGCGTCAGCCCTTTGATAGACTCACGACCTTCCAGGAAACGTAGTCGTAGATCGAACGCTTTTCGTTTCACGCGTATTCTTACGCCACCGATTTAGTAAATATTTGAGACATTTTTTAAATGAAAATGTTTGTCTCGAGAAATGGAAAATTCTTGTTCCGCGAATGCGACGTTCCTTTTTGTTCGAAAAATGCCTCCGTTTCGTGGAATCGATAAGTTCGCCGACGCTCGGGTTAGAGGCCCATCTTTCTCGTCGCACACAATCGGCCGTCGATGCCAAACAGGAACCAATTAATCGTTCGCTGTTTGCTCGAGGTAGCGATGCATATAACCCACACACACCGACGGATAACGGGCCGCGCGCGACAGACCGAGAGAACGAGGATCGAAAGAAGAAGGATTGCGGACAAGCGGCTCTTAAAAAGTAATCTTCGAAGTCGGTGAACTGTGTAACGTAGTCTCGTCGCGTGTAAATTACGCGGCCCGGTTACGGAAGGATCCTTTCTTGCAGTTCCTCTCGGATGTATCTCTCCCTCGGGACTATCATTCTTCTCCTCGGGAACGGCCTCTTCCCTCCGAGGTATTTAAATTCCGTTTATTCGGCCAACCCAGGCGAATTATTTCGCGTGCCTACGTGTTCCGACTGGTTGGCCATCGAAGCAAGAAATATGCAAAAGAACGGAACCACCGGCGTTGGCTCGTTTGCATGTTAATTAAATTCCGCTTACTTTGTGGAACGTTTATTTAACTTTCCCGTAAGCTCTCTGTCGATTTTATACCGAATAAATTGTAATTTCTACGAGGGACCGTCCGGTTATCTCCATTTTACCGTGCTGTTTGAAATATCGAGGAGCGCCCATATGCGAGCCAATAACCGAGGCTACGGCGTCGACGGTATATACGAACGTTTCATATAGGGCAACAGGGGACCAGGGAAAGGGTGGCTTGAAATATTGGCTACATAGATTTCGACCATTATTGCCGCGTGTAAAACACGGCGACATTTGGCGCTAAATCGATCAGGGCGCGCTCAGTCGCAGCGCGTCGATCTTTCTCTCGCAAACAACACTTGCGGACTTCCGAGACACTTGGCAATCGACTTCTAAAGTCACTAGATACGTGTTTCTAAAATAAATGTTACATTATCGAAAGTGGACCCACCCCTACAATAATTCTGACGACCAATACACTTTGTAGTTGGATAGAAATTCTCTGGAACTGCCTAGATACGTAACATATTACTAAAAAATCTATTATAATACAGAAAGAACTGATCCTCGATGGAAAATTTTGCATAAAAAAAAATTTCTTCTCCTTGCGTATTTAAATTTTTGAACGAAGAAAAAAAAAATTCTTCGGCGATTCGAACGGGTGCGAAAACGGTCAGGACTTTTGCATTTAGCCAATCCTCGTGGAAGACCGTATATCGCGGTCTAAGAATAACAACGATAAAGTATTCTCGCCATGAATATTTCGTATCTTCTACGGGGATCTCCCTGCTCGAACGTCGTTCAAATTGAATTCTGATTTAACTGGCCGCGTCTTGCCAGCACGGAAATATCCCTCGATGGCGTCGCCGTTGTACCAAGGAGGCCGTCCCGCGGGTCGATTCTTTCGCGGGAATTTCCGACGAATCGAAGGGAAAGATCTACGCGACGAGTTTCGCAGTCTCTATAGCCGCGGCTCTCATATTAGTTGCGTGATTTATCGTCACGCAGTTAAGAGTACAGATTTATAGTGACCGAAGTCGCGCACAAGTTTTATGGCCGGACGAATTGTTTCGAACTGTTGAAAGACCACCTCGGGCACATAAGCGCGCTGAAAAGTTCAATTAAAGACGAAATGGAATTTTTCACTCTACGTAACTGCTTCCTGGGACAAATTCGGACCACGATACGAGGTAAACAAAGTTACGCGAATGTTCAAAGTTCACTTGTATTTGCGAGAATCTTGAGGGATCCTGGGTGGTCGCACATAATGTGCTCTTAATTAACTTGGTTGTTGCTGGCTATAAATTATCGAGCAAAGTAATATCAGCTTTCGTTTAGTGCCGCGGAGCAACCCCTTCGAGCATTTGTACGCGACCGCGAATGTTTATGCACGCCCCCGAATAGTGTCACTGAATAAATCAAGCAATAACGCGCGTTGTTCTTGATTATTTTTCGCGCGAGATCGTCGGGGAACGGCGAGGAGAAAAAATGAGATACGCGCCGGTAATTGATGGCCCTCTTTAATAAGCAACAAAGACGTCGTTGCGAAGCGAGCGCAAAAAGCTCGAGGCGGTCGCGTGGATTCGCTCGCCGCAAGCAGCTGCTCGCCACAAATTAGCATCGGGCTATAAACGATAGCGGGTTTCGACAGTCCGCGAGCATCGTTCAGGAAGCGGCGAGTTAATTGAAGAGTTAATAAGGCTGCACTACGGTCGCGAGCTTCGACTAAAGTTCGTCGATGATCGGTTGCCGCGTCTGAGAACTTCATTCGTCAACGGCCAAAATTCTCATCCAAATAAAAATTTCGTGTAACGGATAAGAGGTATAAAACTCGTCGGATGAAAATAAAAAGTTCAATTATAAAATGAAATAATTTATCGGAACCCGAATCTGCACAACGGGAAACCTGTCAGTCGAATAAGTAATTTTCAGGATCGCATCTCACGGATTATGATAATCACGGTTGCCGTTTACTTTCTTTATTCCTCGCTTTACTTATTTCTCTTGTACGCGCCAGGTGCAGAGATACGAATACAAGAGAAATAAAACAGGAAGTATTATCCGATAACTTTAATAAGATCCCTAAGGGAGTGTCCTGAGCGAGGAGGTGGGGCTGAGACTATCGCCTAGGAGTATAGCCTAACTATCGGGTGTCATCCGATATTGTTTGAAA